AAAAAAAAAAAAAAAAAAAAAACACTATGGGGGACATGAAGGGTATTCAACATGTGGCCCATTCCTCTGGAATCCCAAAGGTTTCTAATAATTCTTTTTCCTTTTTTGCAGATGTTGGGTTCCAGCAGACACCCATGTTCCCTTGAACAGCCCAGAACCAGTTCCCTGGGTCCTGGTGACAGGTAATGACTTCCTTCATTGCTCTTATAGTTCCAAGCACTCTGGTTGAATAATAATAATGTAATATTTACTGAGTATTTACTATTTGCCAGACTCTTTGCTAAGCCCTTTGTATAGTATTTGTTAATCCTTACAACAATGTCACAAGGAAGTGGAAGAGAATATTCCTGCCATTTCCTAGCTGAGAGAGCTTTGAGATAATTGGCAAAGATCACTTCTAAGATCCTTATAGGCTTTAACATTCTCAGATTTTTTTTTTTTTTTTTTTTTTTTTTTTTTTTTTTTTTTTTTTTTTTTTTTTTTTTTTTTTTTGCTGTTTTTTTCAGTGCTGGGGATTGAATCCAGGGCCTGTGCATGCTAGTAGGAAACCTCTGTACCACTAAGTTATAACAAGCCACCATTCTGAGTTTTTAAAATATCATTCCTTTCTTAAATCATGCATGCATTCATGTATCCGTCAAGCACTTACCACATGTTAGGATTTTTGTGTGTTTGTATGTACTGGGGATCAAACTCAGGACCTCATCATGGAATCTTACAGAGGGGATTAACACAGATTGAAGGTTGGATCATTTCTCCACCCAAAATTTAGGTAAAGGAAAAATAGAGTTCATCTTATTCCTATGTTCTCCCCTAATAGCCTTCCATCCAACCATCTTCACTGATTTATTAACTCCAAAAAGAAGCATCTCCTTTGTTCAGGCTCTCTGTTTAGGTGCTCAGAAGGAGTACCATGAAGAAAATGAAGACTGCCTACCTTTGCTGCCAATTCCTACAGGAATCCCAGCCATCACCAACAATTCAGTCTTTTTTTTTCCCCTTTCTAGAAGTGGGATCCTTATAGTTTTAATAAAGTTTTGTAGTTGCAATTAAGAGAAAACTAGCATAATACGGTGTTTTGTTGGATCATTTAAGCAAAAAATTTAGCGCTGTCAGGCTTGGTTGGTTGCGGGGGTTAAGTAATAGTGCCAGGAATTTGCCTCTAGTGGCTCTAATGTTGTTAAGTAGCTCCAGTCCATCCATATCCAGCCAGCTTGACAACCCCAGCATTGACTGACTCTCATTGGCCAAGCCTGGCCAAACCCTGAGCCAATTACTGTGACTCCTGAGGCATGGGGGAGAATAGAGGGGACCTTAGTTCCCTGCCCCCTTGGGGGAAGAGGGAGGTGGGGTCAGCCTTTTTTAAACTGGAGAGAGTGTGGAGGGAGGTTGCCCAAAGGAAAGTCAAAGTACTATTACAGAGAATGGGGGTGTTGGATGGATGTTGCTTAAATAAAAACAGCCATTATCATCCATAGCCCATACAATACTATACCCCATTCTCCAGTCTTCCTTACCGCTAAATCATTTGAACAAATAACTGTTTAACTTCTTTTGAGCTTACATTTCATGGCAGTCCCTATGTGCCAGGCACTATCTAAACACCTTTCAGATCATTTTTTCCCTACCCACCTCCATTTTATGAGTGAGGAAAAAAGTGGACTAGGAGAAATGGAAGGACTTGTCCAAAGTCCCTAAGTGGCAAAGCTAGAATTTGAATCCTAGTTTATCTGAATCAAAAGCTGGATCTTGGCCATACATAGTGGCACACATTTGTGAACCCAGCACTCTGGGAGGTTGAAGCAGGAAGACTGAAAGTTCCCTAAGTTGCCCAGACTGGGTTGAAATTTCAGTCCTCATGTCTCAGCTTCCCAGAGTTCTGGGATTACAGGCATGCACCGGCACATCAGGCTAATTTTTTCTTTTAAATTCTTGCACATGTTAAAGCAAATTAGGTGGTGGGATTCAGTTCTTTTTGGGGAAATTGATACTAGGGCCTTGTATATGCGTGCTAGACAAGCACAACATCCCCAGCTTTTAAGTTTATTTTGAGATAGAGTCTCATTAAGTTGCCCAAGCTGGCCTCCAACTTGCAGTCATTCTGCCTCAGCCTCCTAAATAGCTGGGTTTATAGACGTGCACCAGTGCACCTGGTGGGATTAGTTTTTCTGTATCTAATAATGAGAAGTTTGAACTGCCTTTTGTAAGTCTTGTTCTAGTTCTTCTAAAATAAAGAAACTAGGATGTGTTTAGGCTAATTACCTCAGATAAGAGGAAAGTCGGGAATTAGAGGCATTTGCCACTTCAAAAGGCTGAGAGGCTATCATAAGACAAAAAGCAGCATCATCACTTTAACAATCTTTTATTGAGCAGCTGCTAAGAGCCAGGCGTGACTCTAGGAGCTAAGAATATGACCAGGGATACATTATGACTTGTGGGATCTAAGTACTCTTTTCTCCTTGGTTCCCTTCGTTCATTAAGAAAAAATTTACAGTAGTCAGGAACAGTGGTGCATGCCTGCAATCCCAGAACTCTGGAAACAGGCAGGAAGATCATGGCAAGTATAAGGCTGGCTCGGGTTACATAGTGAATTCAAGGCTCACCTGACCTACATAGCAAGACCCTGTCTTGAAACCACCCCCCGTAACAGTAGCATTGATATTAAGACAAATATAATGCCGGTTTTTGTATCGACTGTTCTTCTACTTTAAAAGAAAAACATTTTGACAAAACCCTAAGTGTCACACATCTAAGACACTGAAATTACTGCAACTAATGGGTAAATCAGCCTGAGATACAGCAGAAAAGACAAAAATCCCTGTTCTCTTGAAATTTATAATAAGAGATTTAAAAAATAAGATATCAAATGCTGATAAATGATGGAAGGATGGTAATAAAGAATGTGCTTATGTAGATTGGGTGGTTATAGAAAGCCTATCAGGAGGTGACATTTAAACTAAATACTTGAATGATAAAAAAGAAACTAGCCATGCTACAATGAAGGCAAAAATCCAGGCATGGTGGCATATGCTTGTAATCCTAACACTTGAGAGGCTGAGGCAGGAGAATTGCAAGTTCAAACCCAGCCTGGCTAATTTAGCAACTTAGTGAAACCGTCTCAAAATAAAAACAGAAAAAGGACTGGGGATGTAGCTCAATAAGAAGACTCTTGGTTCAATCCCTACGACACCCCCACACACATACACACACAATCAGGGCAAAAGAATATTCTGGGCAGAAGGAACAGTGAAGGCCCTAAGGAGGAAATAAACTTGGCAGTTTAAAAAACAAATGACCATGTATCAAATATTTTAAAATAAGAAATAAAAAACAGATGAGGCCAGTCATCGTAGTGCACACCTGTAATCCTAGCACTTGGGAGGCTGAGGCAGGAGGATCACCTTGTGTTTGAGTCCAGCCTGAACTATAAAGGGAGACCTTGCCTTAAAAAAAACAAAAAAGAAAAAATAATAATAAATTTAAAATTTTTTAAAATATAGAGTGGGGATTTAGCTCAGTGTCATGGTGCCTGCCTTGCAAGTACAAGGTCCTGGTACCAAAAAAATTAAAAAATAAGAAGCTGGGGATGTAGTTCTGGTAGTACACCTGCCTAGTGTGTACAACGCCTTGGGTTTAATCCACAGTACTGCAAACAAAACAACAAAACACCCAGAGTAAACATTCAGGAAGCACATTTGATATGAAACACTCTTAGGTATGATCAAATAGCATCTTTAATTTACATAGACTGAGTGTTTTTTCTTCCTTGCTTCTCTGTTGTTCTCATTGGGCTTCCAAGGACCCCTAAGAACAGAAGGAAAGTGGTGTGCAAAAAAAAAAAAATCAGGGCGAGAAAGGACTTTAGAGGTCCACCCACCTGATTATCTCCCTTCTTTCCTTCTTCCTTTCCTTCTATGCTATGCATTGAACCCAGAACTTCATACGCTGTAGGCAAGCACTAGTTTTTTGTTTTGTTTTGTTTTTGTACCGGGGAATTGAACTCAGGTCCTTGCACTTGCAAGGCAGGCGTTGGAACCACTCAGCTAAATCCCCGGCCCTACTAATTTTTCTTTTAAGAATAGAATTGGTTACTGGGAAGGCTGAGGCAAGAGAATCACTTGAGCCCAAGAGTTCAAGGCCAGCTCAGATGAAAAATAAAAAGAATCTCCAATTTCCCTTCCCCTCCAAGTTATGGTTTCTGTGAGATTGTAATTTGGAGACCAATTGGTGATTATTTTTCTTTCTTTCATTCAGTTGACTAATATGTATGGTTTCTTGTGTTCATAAATATTTTGAAGCAATGAACTAAGATGAAATCCTCTACATAGAGCCCTGAAAGGCTTCCGTTTGATCTTAGGATAAAAGCAAAACTCTGTACTGTGGGTCTACAACTCCCACTTCATGCCGGCTCTGCCTCCTTCTCCAACCTTGTCTCCCCCACAGGACACCTGGCTTTGTGTGCTCCAGGCATTTTCATTTTCTTTCCAATTCTTCATGTTGTGGGGTCTTTGCATGTGTTCCCTCTATCTAAAATGTTTTATTTCCCTCTTCACCTTCAGAACAGGTCTGGCTAAGTTTACTTTCTTAGGAAAGACCTCGCTGATTAGATCAAAGCCCCCTATTTGAGCCCCTCATTTATTAGGTCAAAGCTTCATGTTGCAAGTTTCCGTAACACAAAGCAACACCTCTGTCCTCATCAGGGCCAACTCTGGGTATGTGACTTGTGCAGTCACACTGTACCTTATTCCTAAAAGGGCCCAGTGATTGAGCTAATGTTTTATTCTCACATACCTTGCTTAATTTTTTTTCAATACTCAGGATCAAACCCAGTCATCTTTTTTATTTGAAGGGGAGTGGTTTTGAAACAAGGTCTCTCTTTGAGGTGCAGGCTGGCCTTGTACTCACTATGTAGCCCAGGCTGGCCTTGAACTCAGTGATTCTTCTGCTTCATCCTCCCAAGTACTGGGATTATGGGCATGCACCACTACAATGCCGCGCCTCTCTATGTCTCTGTCACTAGCCCCCGCTTCTCCCTCTCTCTTTCTCTCCAGTTCTAGGAATTGAACCCAGGACTTTCACACTGAGCTACATCCCCAATCCCCAGCCCTTATTTACGGTATTTACTCATTCATTTTGGCAGTACTTGGAATTGAACCAAAGCCCTTCTTATTTTTTGAGAGTGGATCTCATTATATTACCCAGAGGTGACTTAAACTTATAATCCTCTTGCCTCAACCTCCCAGAGTGCTGAGATTTCAGACATGCACCACCACACCCTGCTGAAATTCTTAATTTCTGAATAAAGTTCCCTACATAGCAAGACCCTATCTCAAATCACAAATAAATACAGAGCTCCTCATGGCCCCCCAAAATAAATAAAAGATCCCACATTTTATTTGCAATACACTCAAAACTGTATAACTTATTCTGGTTCTAATCACAATTTATTTATTTATTTATTTATTTATTATTTATTTATTTATTTATTTTTGTGTCAGGGATTGAACTTGGGACTTTGCTTTTACCAGGCAGGCAGCTCAATCACTGAGCTAAATCCCCAACCCCTATTACAATTATACTTCTTAGTGTGGCAGTTGGTCAAAGACTGCCCCCAACTATATTGTCAGCCCCTGAAGGGGACTGTATTTGTTCTTTTTGTTTTTTGGGGTTTTTGTTTATTTTTTTGAGACAGTGTCTGGCCTTGAACTCACTATGTAGCCCAGGATAGCCTCAAACTTGCAGCAATCCTCCTGCCTTACCCCCAAGTGCTTGTATTTGTTCTTTATACATTTATTCCTGTCACCTATAAGATACCCTGGCATACAGTAGATACTCAGTAATTGTTGAACGAATGGGTGAAAAGATTTTGCCTTAGTCACTAAGATACAATACTCAACACCCACAGTTTAAAGGAGAGGCTTATTTTGGCTCATAGTTTTTGGAGATTTCAGTCCATAGTCAGCCGGCTCCAAGGCAGAAAGCAATGGTGGGAGGGCCTGGGGGAAGCCAGGAAGCAGAGCAAAGCTGGGAGCTTGTGACCAGTGACCCATCTCTTCCAGCCAGGCCCTACCTACAGCAAGTCAGCTTTAAGCCTCCAAGATTCAGTCGTCTTCTGAAAGTGCCACCTATTAAAATAAAATAAAACTCAACTTATGAGTACCTGAGGCTCTTGAGGGACATCTACATATTTTTTTTTAATTTTATTTTTTGGAGGAGTTGTTTTGAGGCAGGGCCTTGCTATGTATGTAGCTCAGGCTGGCCTGGGCCCTCAAAACAGACATGTACCACCATGCCTGGTTTCTTTTTTCTTTTTTTTTTTTGAGACATGGTGTGCCTCAGGCATTCCAGGCTTGCCTTGAACTCAGTATGTAGCCCAGGCTGGCCTCAAACTTGCAGCAATCCTCCTGCCTCAGCCTCTCAAGTGCTGGGATTATGGGCATGCGCCACCAAGGCTGGCTGTTTTGTTTTTTGGTACTGGGGATCAAACTGAGGACCTTGCGCTTTCAAGGCAGGTGACGGAACCACTGAGTGGTTAGCTGGGCCAGGCCAGGAAGAGAAAGGGTGTTCGAAGCCATGTTAACAATTTAAACTTGATATTTGCTGCTTGTGGTGGTGCAACCCTTTAATCCAGCATGTAGGAGGCTGAGACAGGAGGGTTGTATGAGTTTGAGACCAGGCCCGATTTTAAAAAACAAATGAACTTGATACTTAACACTGGAATGACCTTGAGGGGTTTGAAGCAAGGATGTGATTTGGTTAGGTTTGTGCTTCAGGAAGCTTACACTGCCTCTTGTAGAGAGTGGGATGGGATGGAGGAGGCCAGATGGAAGGTTGTGTGGGTGTCAGTATGCATTAAGGAAAGGCTGTGGGGATGGAGAGAAAGCATGGGAAGAGGAATGGGCAAGATTTGATGACCAATAGGTCGGAGAGTTAAGGGAAAATGAGTCCAGACAAAGCCTAGGACTCTATCTTATGTGTCATGGAGAGAGGGGTGGGAGACAACCTTGAGATGGGGAACTCTAACACAGAGATTTGGGGGTCAGATCCCAAATTCAGTTCTGGATATCCTAATTAAACCTACCTCTTGTCCCAAAACAGGAATCAAAAGAAAAGTCACACCAGCCAACTTCAGGAGCTGGCATTGCTGATACCTATGACCCTGAAGACTGGTTCCAAGAAGCTCACCAAGGTGCACGGGGAGGAGGAAAGGAAGCAGATAAGGGAGGCGAGGCTTCAAAGAGCAGTGAGCAGGGAGGTGGTCCTGGGAAAGCTAGACTGAGCCTTTTAGTGACAGCCTTGAAAAGGGAATGGCTTGCTCTAAATGGAAATTTCTTGGAAACTGAGAGCCCATGACTAGAAAGGAGGCCGGAGGAACTGGGAAGGAAGACTTGAAATCAAACAGCCCCAGGTTTGAGCCCTCCGGCTTTATAGCTACAGATCTCTGGGCAGCTTCCTCAGGCTCTAAGCCTCAGGTTTCTTGAGTGTAAAAGAAGGAAAAATAATTCTGGCTCCCCAGAGATACTGTGAGACCAAAATGACATAGTAGCTCTCCAGGCCTAGCACACAGTATGCCCTGAATAAATGTCAGATCCCTCCTGAAGTCCCTGCTCTTGGGACCTGTGTGGTTCATCTCGGAGGTCAGGTTTCTCTGGGTGTCCCCACAATAAGTACAATAAGTACATACAGGGCCAAGCTAACACTGTGCTCGCAGTGGGAACAATTTACATTGAGACCCAGATCGTAAAAGCTGTATTTCCTCTCATTCACTTCATTTACTCATTCTTTCACTGGCCTTTGGCAGAAGATCCTTAGATGCCAGAATCTGTTCTGATTGCCACAAAGAAGCAAATAAATTTGAGGCCCAATCCTTCACAGGGACTTTTTTTTTTTTTGAGAGAGAATCTCACTATATAGTTCAGGCTGACCTTGAACTCACTATCTACCTCAGGCTGGCCTGGAATTTGTGGCAATCCTCCTGCCTCAGCCTTTTCTCTGGGAATGTAGAATCTTGAATGTATCAGGAAGTTGTGAATTTGAATACAAGTATAACTGGTGCCAACTGGAATGTTTGACCTGATAAGAGACCCTCAGAGGAGTGGGTGTCTGGAGAGATTTGCCTGATCCTAACATATGGCCTTTACCCTGCTCACTACATTCCACCACCCACCATGTCATGTAGAATTCTCCTCCTACACATCCTCTATAGCAGGTTCTTGGATGAGTTTCCCAGGACTGCTGTAACCAATCACTACAAATTTAGTGATTAAATGACACAAATTTATTCTTTTACAGTTCTGGAGGTCAGATGTCCCAAATCAGGATCACTGGTCTAGAGTCAAGGTGTTAGTAGGGCTGGTTCTCTCCAGGAGAGGATCTTTCCCTTTGCCAGCTTATAGAGGGTGACTACATTCCTTGGCTCCTGATGAGCCATTCAAAGCAAGCAGCTCAGTGTCTTCAAATCTCTCTTGTCTCCTACTGCTCTCCCCACCCCTGGTACTGAGGATTGAACTCAAGACCTTGTGCTTGCAGACTCTGGCTATGTAAACACACACACACACACACACACACACACACACACACACACACACCCTTGTGGTCACATTGGGTCCACACACACACACACACACACACACACACACCCTTGTGGTCACATTGGGTCCACTCACATACTCCAGAGGAATTACCTCATCTCAAGATGCTTAACTCACATCTGCAAAGTAACCTTTGCCATATAAGGCAACATACTTATAGGTGCTGGGTAGTAGGATGTGGACATCTTTGGGATTGGGATGCAGACTATTTGGGGACTTTTTTCTTCTGTCCTCAAATATTTCCATATATAATATATCTACATGCTGTGATAGGCACTTGGGAAGCTAAAGATGGAAAAGACAGTCCCCTGCTTTTGGGAAATGACAGTCAAGTCAGAGGTCAGGCAACATTTTGTAACAGACCTGATGCCACATACGACATCCTTTAGAATCTCCCCAAGTTTCCTCTCCTCTCCTCTCTTTTCTCTTCTCTCTTTTCTTCTTTTTTTTTCCTGTTTTTGTACTGAAGATTAAATCCAGGGCCTCTACACTGAGCTACATCTCCAGCCCTTTTAAAAATGTTTTTAGGCCAGGCGTGGTGGTGTATGCCTGTTATCCCAGCACTCGGGAGGCTGAGGCAGGAGGATCACTGTGAGTTCAAGACCAGCCTGGGCTACATAGTGAGTTTCAGGTCAGTCTCAACTATACAGCAAGACCCTGTCTCAAAAAACAAACAAAAAAATGTTTTTATTTTTGAGACAGGATGTTGGTAAGTCACTAAGTTTCCTAGGCTGGGCTCAGACATCCCCCTATGTGAGCTTCCCAGAGTTCTGGGATATGTGCCACCACCCACAACATCATCTATTTTCCCTACCATTTATCCTCTGCTAGAGAAGGATCCCTCTTCCCACTCTTTACTGTCCCTTAAGTCAGTCCTAGGTTCCCATTCCACATAAAATGGCATCCCAGTCAGTATCCAACCACTCATGGGTCAAACTCAATCTTTGCCTAGAGGAAATCACATCTGTCCCAGGGTTGTGCTATGCGCTCATGAACTAATAGAAGCTTTGTCCTGTTTCTGAGGTTTGGGATTTCTGGCACCCTTCTGCACTATTCTGGCTAGTTAAATGTCTCATTCCTCACATGCTCCTATAGTTTTTCCCCTCTGACCACGAAGGCCCTCAGCATATTACTTCAATCATTTTCTTTGTTTCTTACTACCACCAGCAGCACTACCCACTTTTTTTTTTAAAGACTAGGTTGCTCAGGCTAGCTTCAAATTTGCAATCCTCCTGCCTCAGCTAGGTGTGTACCACAGTTCATGGCTTCTTCTTTTTTTTTTTGTACCGGGGATTGAACTCGGGACCTTGGGCTTGCAAGGCAGGCAGCAGAACCACTGAGCTAAATCCCCGGCCCTAAGTTCATGGCTTCTGAATACCTTTAGATGGAGAATTCTGCCATATCTCCATTCCCAGCACTCACAGGGCCCATCCTAAAGAAAATAACAATAAACATTGCTCCCAATTTATTGAGAGCTCCAGGTGTCAGGCTTTGAATACTGTGTCTTAGACACAGTTTTTCATTTAAGCTTCCCTGGAGCTTTGTGAGAGATGTGTGAGTAGGCTTACTTTTTGGTTTAAGGAAACTAAAGTGCAGAGGGTCATGTTGCTCAGAGACACACAACTAGGCAATGGAATGGAGAGGGGGAGAGAGAGAGAGAGAGAGAGAGAGAGAGAGAGAGTGAGTTTGGTGTCTCATTCCCAAGGCCTGAGCCCTTCAGCAGCTGTGTTACTCAGTGTTCAGTGGATGTTTGTTGACTGACTAAATGAATTTCCTGTGTTCAGATGGCTACAGGATCTGTCTATTTTACCTTTACAAGGTCTTTGAGATTTGTCCCTTAGGTATAGCTTTCATTCTGTCTTCCCAAAGCATCAAGAACTGAGCCTCTGTCCTGGAGTCAGAGATAATGCCCAGTAGGCTTCTGCATAAAATCTTTAGTACAGTTACAATAAATAACATTTACATATTACTTCACAGTTACAAAAATCTCATCTCAGTGCATGCCAAACAGGTGCCAACCCTGGTGTTAGAAATACTAAGCTAAAAAAGACAGAATCTGCCCTTGAAAAATCCATACTCTAGTTATATTTTTCTTTTTTCAATTTAATTTTTTTATTCTTACATGTTTATAGTACACAATGATTACATTTATTGTGTGGAGTCTGTACATGTACATAACACATATTAATTCTTTTTTGTCCCCTTTCCCTCCCACCCCTCCCTGCTCCAACTCTTATTACCCTTCCCATTTGAGAAAGCTCTATTTCCATTTTTTTCTTTGATTCTCTATTTTTAATCTCCTTTCCCTTCTTCCACCTCTTGTTCCCCTTCCATTTGAAAAAGATCTCCCTGCTATTATTTGTCTTTTATTTTGTTCTTTATTGATATTTTAGGTTTCACATATAATAAAAACCATGCAATATTTAAACTTGCACATCTGATTTATTTACTTAACATTATGATCTTGAGGTATATCCATTTACTACTTATATATGTATGTATTTATTTATTTTGGTACCAGGGATCGAACTTGGAACTTTGCAATTACAAGCCAAGTGGCAGAACCACTGAGCTAAATCCCAGCCCTCCATTTACTACTTACAGATGCCTCAAGTTTATCATTCTTTGTGTCAGAGTAGCACTCCACAGTGTATAAACACCACATGTTCCTATCCATTCCTCTGTTGGCTGTTTCCAAGATTTAGCTATTATGAGTTTTGTGCTGCTATAAACATGAGTATGCATGTATTATTGTACTACAATGACTTTAACTCTTTTGGGAAGATTCCTAGAAGGGGAATAGCTGGATAGAATGAAATTTCTGGTTTTATTGTTTTGAGGAATTTCCACACTGATCTTCATAGAGGTTGTTTTAGTTTATATTTCCACCAATAGTGTATAAGAATTTCTTTATCCCCACAGCATTACTAGCATTCGTTTTTTGGTTTGTTGTTGTTGTTTTTGTTTTTTGGTACCGGGGATTGAATTCGGGACCTTGGGCTTGCAAGGCAAGCAGCAGAACCACTGAACTAAATCCCCAGCCCTGTTGTTGTTTTTGAGACAGGGTCTTGTTATGTAGTTCAGGCTGGCCTTGAACTCACTATGTAGTCTGGGTTTCCTCAGGGTGATCCTCCTGCCTCAGCCTCCCAAGTGCTGGGATTACAGGCATGTGCCACCATGCCTGACCTAACAGCCATTCTTTCTGTGGTAAAATGGTATTCTAATTATATTTTTTCTTATTTAATCCCTTGAGAACCTGATAGGACCTGTTCTTGGTACACAGTCATAGTAGCAGATAGGATCCACATCCTTCAGTACCTGTGTTCTTTTTTTTGAGACAGAGAAATTGAAATTTTAGAAGAGATTAGGAATTATTGCTAATTTGGGGGAGAGGCAGACAGGGTATTGAACTTGGGTCTTTACGCTTGCAAGGCAGGTGGTGGCACCACTGAGGTAAATCCCTGGCCCTTTTTTTTTTGTTTTTTTGAGACAGAATCTCACTATGTAGTTGAGACTGCCCTGGAACTCACTGTGTAGCCCAGGCTGGTCTCAAACTCGCAGTGATCCTCCTGCCTCAGCCTCCCGAGTGCTGGGATTACAGGCGTGTACCACCATGCCTAGCTTTTTTTTTTTTTGTACTAGGTATCGAACTCAAGACCTTGGGCTTGTGAGTCAGTTGGCAGAGTCACTGAGCTAAATCTCCATCCCCTTCAGTGCCTATGTTCTTTTGACTGTGTCACATGTATTTCTTAGATCATGTAGATTGCAGCTTCCTTTGGTAAATCATGCTCAGTTATATCAGTGACCATCTGTCTGCATTATATTTTACAGAATAGTTTCACCTAAGTTCCCTCATAAGACGCTGTTTCCTGGTTTGGGGTTGGAAGATTATCACCAGTTTGATTCCCAAAATATTCACTGGTATTTTTCACTCACCTTGTCAACTGACTAATTCCTTTCACTTGTAGGCCCCAGTTTAAATGCTGCTTCTTCACGGAGGCCTTTCACCCTAATTCTGAGATCCCTTGTTGTACACTTTTCTTCACAATGCTTATCTCAATCGATGATTTTGAGTGATTTGAGTCTGTTGCCTTCCCTACATTGTAAGGTCCATGAAGGCAAATGAAGCATATCTAGTTTACCTCTGTGTACCTGGCCTTTGATGAGCAGTATTCTTCTGTATCTTTGGCAGGTGTGTGTGTGTATTTTTATTTTATTGGTAAATTTTAGGTATACATAATTCATCACAGGGAATTTGTACCTATACATGATGTATCTTGCTTCTTTTTTTTTTTTGCCACTCCTCTCCCCTCCCTTTAACCCCTCTTCCCCTCATTTACTTTTCTTTTGTTTCTTTCTTTTTTTCATTGAGACAGGGTCTCTCTTTATAGTAAAAGCTGACCTTGAACTCACTATGTAGCCCAGGCTGGCCTTTTACTTGCTGTGAGCCTCCTGCTTCAGCCTCTTGAGTGCTGGGATTACAGATGCACACCACTACACCCAGCCACTTTCGTAGTTTTGTATCTCCAATATCAACTCAGGAGGTATTCAGGGCTTGGTGTTGGAGATTTTATCCACTGAACGGGAGGATCCTGCTGGGTGCTGTGGGGACATCGTTCCTTCAACAGTCCCCAGGGAGCAGTGTGTTTGGGTTACAGAAACCAGTTAGTCACAGGCTCATCATCAACTAGTGCAGAGTCAGTGGAGAGAACAACACATAGAGAGATTTTTTTTTCTTTTTTATTGAGGTTATTGGTACAATCTAGGTATACAAATACAATTACATTCATCATTGGGATTCTGTACCTTTACATAATAGGTCTTGATTCTCATTTTTCCCCTTGTCCCTGCCCTCCCTTCACCCCCTCCTCCCCTCCCCATTTACAAACACTTTATTTCCATTTTTTCAGCTTCTCATATTTTTTTTTCTCTCCCTTGAGATTATTATAAAACAGTGTGGCAAGTGCCTTGGAGAAAAGGCACAGGGCGTGATAGGAGTGCTGACGAGGGGCAGCTGACCCAGTCTAGTAAAATAAATAAGTAAAAAAAAAAAAAGTAAATGAGGGGAAGACAGGTTAAAGGGAGAGGAGGCACAGTGCTGGAAGAGATTGCTGTGCCAAAACTAAGAGGAAAAAGAAGCAGTAGGAGAGAGTTTATGGGAACAGAAGGAGGGCTTTGCAGACAGGAAATACAGCATGAGCAAAGGACCAGTGGCCAAAAGCTGAGCAATGTCTCCTGAAAAGCCAGACCAGGAGGCAGGCTAATCTGGAATCACTCTCTCTTGAGTGCACCGAGACTCAGTTTCCTCAGCTGTATCCTGTATCTCTCTGGGCCATAGTGAGGGCTTAACAGACTAGGACTGGATAGGGGCTGGGGATTTAGCTAAGTGGTGCCACACCTGCCTCACAAGTGCAAGGTCCTGAGTTTGATCCCTGGTACTAGAAAACAAACACACAAACAAAACAAACAAACAGGGCCCGGGGATTTAGCTCAGCGGTTCGGTGGCCTGCCTTGCAAGCGCAAGGACCCGAGTTCAATCCCTGGTACCAAAAAACAAACAAACAAACAAACCAACAAACAAAATAGGACTGGGTGCAGTGGTACACATCTGTAATCCCAGGTACATGAGAGGCTGAGGCAGGAATCTAAAGTTTAATAAGACCAAGTGCTACAGATTTAGCTCAGTGGTGCCGCCACCTGCCTTGCAAATGCGAGGTCCAGAGTTCAATCCCTATTTAAAAAAAAAAAAAAAAAAAAAAAAAAAAGGATAATAAAGTTTAAGGCCAGCCTAAGTAACCTTGTGAAATTCTGTCTCAAAATAAAAAAATAAAAAGGGCTGTGGATGTAGTTCAATGCTCTCTGGATTCAATTCCCAGTACTTCAAAACAACAGAACTGAACAGCTCTCTGACACCAAGGGCTGGGTGAGGACCATGTTCCAAGCCCCACCTCCTGTGCTGATTTGTCTTTCTTTTGGAGGCAGAAGGAGATTCTGCAGCATGTCCTGCACTACATACAGTACCTCCAGAGAACCATCAATGTGGTCAAGGCCTTGCTCAAAATCTACCTCAGAAGTGAGGAAGGTGGACTTGTGGGTAAGCAGTTTGGCCAACATGTCCTGGTGCCTGTCACGAGCTAAATCCCTGATTTACATGAGTCTAGCTTTTCTCCCCACCCCTAGGATATTCAGAGCCTGGAGGAGGGGAAACATCAGAAAGGAGTGCAGGATGCTGTGGGAGTTTGGGGGGTTCAAGGACGCTAGGAGGAGGGAGGGCCCTGACAAATCAAAGGAACAACATGAGCAAGAGCAGGTGTGTGGGAGATGCATGTGCAGTGTCTGGGGACAGGCCAGCCATGAGTACTGAGTGGAAGGACCCTGTAGCATTGAGATGCCTTGTGCAGGCTCCTGAGCCAGATTCTGATTCAAACGTGTCTTGGTGACCTTAGCCTCTGTGTGCTTTGGTTCCATCATCTGTAAAATGCAACTTATACCAGTACTTCTTCTGTGTTTGTCATGGGGATGAAGCGCAGTGATCCACCTAAAGAAATGTAAGACAGTGCCTGCACATAGCCACCCGGTGATGTACTGCATGGGCCCAGGGCTACCATTGTCACTAGAACGTAAAATACACAGGCAGGATGGCAGGAGATCAGGCTGGAGGGGTTTGGCAGGGTCGTGGTGGCAGGGATGAGGTGTTGAAGGGCTCCTGGTACACAACTGTGGAAGGGGATGAAGTAGATGAGAATTCCTGCAAGGTGTATATACTGTTTTTTTTGTTTTTTCGGTACCGGGGATCGAACTTGGGCCCTTGTGCTTGTGAGGCAGGCAGCAGAACCACTGAGCCAAATCCCTGGCCATACTGTATATACATTTTAATGGTGCTAGGGATGGAAGCCAGGGCCTCACACAGTTGAGGCAAGCTCTCTACCATTGAGTTACATCCCTGTCCCTTATTGAAGGATTTTAAGCAAGGGGTAGTCATGACCAGATTTTAGTTATTTGTTTTAGGACAAGGTCCCTGACATCTAATGTAGAGAACTGTTTTTAAGGAAGAAACTGGAATCAAAATGAGAAAATAAGCCAGGCGAGGTGGCGCACTCCTGTAATCCCAGCACTCAGGAGGCTGAGGCAGGAGGATGGATCACTGTGAGTTTGGGACCAGCCTGGGCTACATAGTGAGTTCCAGGTCAGTCTCAACTACATAGTGAGACCCTGTCTCAAAGAGAGAGAGAGAGAGAGAAAATACTTCCAAGAGTGATTAGTCGAAAGACAGTGAGGCCCAAGCCAGCACCATTGCTGAGAATGTTGGCAGAAGTGGGTAAATTTGAAGAAGAGATTTAGCAGGGATGGGGGCAGCCCCCTCGCTGGGTTGAGAAGATTGGGAGGAGGAACCGGTTTGGAGTGGAGAAGAGGGCCAAGCATCTGAGAAGGACAGGGTCCGCTCTGGGAACCCACCCCAGCTGGAGGCTGGGAGCGTTGTGTGGTGGCCGGATGTAAAGGACAAGGAGGATGAAGCTGAGGCTCTGACCTGTCTCCTTCTCCATCTCACCAGGGCCGGGCTGGAATCCAGCCACCGGCCCAGCCCGCAGAGACTCCATCCCCTCCAGCTCTCCATGCTCTCAGATCTCTCAGCTTTGCCAGAAACCTTCGAAGAAGCAGCTGACCCGAGCAGGTATAGGTCTGTAGTAGAAGCCAAGCAGAAAGTAGCCCTGAAATACGAACAGGGCTGCCTCCCCCAGTATGCTGTCACCCTGGGCTCTATTCCTAGCTCCTCCTAATAGGAGCACTGGGGCCTGGCATGGGGCCACTCTCCTCTGAGCCTCTGCTTCCTCACTAGGAAATGCAGCACCTGCCACGGGCTGGTCTCAGGATATAGAAAAGGATGCACACACTCTGCTGAAGCATCACGTACAACAGGCACTGGTCAGGCCCCAGGAATGGACACTGCTGTTATCCGTGTGCTCAGTCCTCATTCCTGGGCAGCAGGAATGTGTAGTGGTAGAAAGATCCAAGTGAGGAGGCAAAGTCCTCCATCCCACCACAGCATTGCTACTAACTCAATGCCCTTCCCCATCTAGCTTCCATTTCCACATCTGCAAAATGGGACCTAATTATTGATTTCCAACCCTGGCTGCACATCTGAATCACCTGGAGTGCTTCTAAAAATGCGTATGTCTATCCTCACACCAAGAACATCAGGTGTCATTGGTCTTGGAAGGAACATCAGACGTTGTGCATGTTTTGTTTAATATTTAGAGCTCAGAAGTGTGTGGACAGGGGTTGGACTCAGTGACCTCTACATGAGGATCTGGGCGTGCCCGAAAGGGTGGGGGGTGACCAGGCCCGAGAAAACTTTGAAACAGAGTCTGCACAGAGCACAGGTGGCCCCTCCTGAGGCACATCTGACGCCTGTCTCCGCTCTGTCAGAACTCAAGACCCGGGTCCAGAAGTCTCGTCACTCTCGGCTCTGGACACATCTAAAAAACTGGTTATATCCTCAGACCAGAAAGAAGAAAACGTGGGAAGGACCAGCACCCCTCCAAGGTGCCCTGATGCCTGCAATCCCCCCAAGGCTGTGCTGACCTCATCTCAAGAAGGAAATGCAGATGAAGAAGCAGGAGGCCAGATGACACTGCTGGACATGACCAAGGACATCAATTTTGGTGACATCACAAGTTGGTCTCATTCATCACAGTGAATTTAGTTTTTTCCTTGGTGCTATGACCTGCCATGACCCAGACACAGTCCTAGTAGCTAGGAATACAACAGTGAAAGGGTAGACAATGCTTGTCACTTCATGGAGTATATGATCCTGCTCCTGGCTTTTTTGTTAGGCTCTGTTGTGGGTAAAAGGAAGGGACAAGATCAAGGTCACCCTCATGTGTTAGCTTCAGGTTTAGAACATGGAATAAGGCAAGACCTCCTCATCAGGCTGCACTTGAAGCAGCCAGCCCTTCTTTCATGATCCCCTTCTCACTGCATCTGCTGGGAAAGGGAAAGTGATGTGTCTAACAGAGAGCTGGGTAGGAGAGAGGCAGGCAGGCATGAATTCAAGGTCTGGCTTCACAGTGGCTTTGACACCTTGGGCAGCTGGCTCCTCTCTTTGTTCATTAGCCCCTATTCCTCAAGCACCTCCTCTGGGCCAGGCCCTGTGTAGTTTGCTTGTAACACATGAAGTGACCAAGTTCACAGTCCAATGAAGGAATCACCCACGCAGGTCAGGAGATGCTGTTGTACACAGTGATCCTGATGTCCTGGAGGCTGTGGGCTGTAGTGGAGGTGTCTGACCCAGCCTGGGGCTCGAGAGATGCTTCACAGATCTTTCTGCCAGCTCTGTGAACTTTGACAAGTTATACTGATCTCTCCATGTCTCAGTTTACCTACAGGGTTAATAACAGTGACCTTCAGCAAAGGGTTATTGAGCAGGATGCAGTGTTTAAAACAGGGCTAGTTAAAGTAAGCACTGGATATTTGTTTGCTTTCATTGTTCCACTTAAGGATTTTATCATCATTACAGCTCTTGATAAGGATGTGGGATTTAAGAATGAGGGTGATTCAGGTACCCCCAGTCTCACCTAGAGACCTTGCAACCTGAGGTATTGCCTAGGGTTGGGTGAAAGCTGGGCGGCAGAACCTGGCACCTCTATGTTCCTGTGCCTGTGAGTCCTGGAATCTGGCCCACAGTGCACTGGAGTGGTCGTCCGATTTCACCCCAGGCTGCTATTGTACAGATGGTGCCCAAGATGACAAGCCTGACCCTGCCTTTGAGGATGAGAACAGGGGTGAGATGACCTACTTCCTCAGTGAAACACAGTTCTACCCCAGGTAGGGGAACCCCAAGAGCTCTAGTGAGTGAGGTTGAAGTGTGTGGTCTGCTGTGGTTGTGGGGTCCTCAGGGATGAGGCCACTTTCCATCCCCTGCCAGTGCACACACAGGCAAGTCTGACTTCCCATCCATCTCCTGAGCCATGACTGCAGTCTCCACACTGGCCTCCCTGACTCCTGCTCACCTTTCCAGTCTTTTCTCACTTAACTGTGCCTTTCTGACACAGTCCTTGATCACATCAGTTGTGACTCAAAGCCCTTGTTTGTGCCCACTGGGTGGAGTCCAGATCTTAATGGCAAGGAGACATTCTGTGGCCCTACCTCACCATGTCAGCCACTCTCCTACCTTTAACCCACGAAACATACTTAACAGCATGAAACGTGAGGTGTGCCTTAACCCTGTCTGAGCTCTTCACTCTGGTCCTTCTTGCATAGCCCTCTCCCCTGGTCCACCTGAGAAACTGCCCATCCTGCAGGCTGAGCTCACTGCGACCCCTCTTCTCCAGTCCTCCCAGAGTCCCTCCATCACAGGCACCCCCAACCCATTGCTGGTGTCTGCTTATCCGCTCATCTCCCCTCACAAGATGTGAAGCTCCTTGAGGTCAGGAGCCTCAGCCACATAAGTGCCCCAAAGCCAGCACATATTTGGCCACACGAGATACCCAAAGGGATCACACATCCTGCCCAGGCCTCTTTGTCTGCCTCTTGATTCTGCCACTTACAGGCAGCAGATGGTCTTCTATGATTCCAGTGAGGAGATGGACAATGACGCTGACCCTTGGCTGCCTGTCTGCACCACAGAGGACAGATCCCAAGGTGACTGAAACACTGTCTCTCTTCTTTGTGGGCTCTAGGCTTCTTTTAACTTCTTTCTGAGGATTCCTATGACAGGTGAGAAATCGGGATCTGCTAAGCACAGGATGGCAAATGCACTATACCTGCTGTCACTCCACCACCAGTTAGCATGGAAGAAATTGCTAAACAATCATTGTTTTGGTTTTTTTTCCTTTATCACAGATACTACCTCAGAATCTTTCTTACCACAGAGTCAGGCTGTGGGCTCTGGCACATTATAATATTTTTTCCATCCCTGTCATAGTGCCAAGCATCATACCTCTTAATTTCCTCTACCAGGAAATGAAGTTCTGGAACTCCAAATGAGAAAGTGACAGTCACCTTTCCTGTGCCTTCCAGTTGCTGTGCCAGGGGAGGGGACAATCTCTGACCCCACTCCTGAGCCCTGTGTTTCCTTTTCAGAGAGCCTGCTGGCCTTGCCACCTCCCCAGGTCCCTGCCTGTAGTGTGACAGGCCACCCAGATGAGATTCTAGGACTCAGCCCTTCCCTCTTCAGCTCCCCAAGCAGACTGCTGCCAGAACAGATCTTGGAGGATGACACCATGTTTCTGACCCAAGGTGAGCCTCCAGGGCAGGACCAGACACTTGATTCAAATGCTCAGGCCTGTATGGGCCATGCTGAAACCCAGCCGTGAGTCTGCTCAGGCCCTGACTCCAGGATGCCAGCACAGGGGCATCACAGGCTGTGTGGCAAGAACAAGGCTCCAGGAGCCTGAAGCAGAGTCCCACACTCTCTTCAGGACTAGAGGGGATCCAGGGGAGGTGGCCTGTGAGGGGACTTGGACTTGGGGTGGGAGACCTTGAAGCAGAAAGCTGTAGGGAGACTCCAGCAGCAGTGAGAGCAGGGTGAAGCACTTCCTTTTTAGCAGCCCTCTGGTCCCGACAGGTCTCTTTGAAGAAGTGCTGTTAAGTCCTGAGTCTCCACCTTCTGCTTGCATGCTTGTAGCTCCTGAGGAGAAGGTAGGCTCTGTCTACCCGCACCCTCCTCATGTGTGACTCCCGTACCCTGCCTTAGGGCCCCAGACAGCCCACTCTGTCCACTCCTCCTGTGTTCCTCCTCATCCCCCCAGCCTCATTGCCTTCTGTACCCTCCTTGAGCACTCACTGCAGCCACAAAGGCCTGCATGATGGTGTAGTGGCACTTTAAACCAGGGTGCTCATGGCCTAATTTTACAGACACAGATACTAAAATTTGGAGAGAGAGCCAAGGAATCCTCAGTCAGAATAGAGACCAAAGCCAGGACTGCCTCCTGCCAGGCCCTGGCCAACCTTGCAGCCCTGCATACTCCAGGAGGCCAGTGTCTGAGAGGCAGCCCCAGCTGCAGCTCCTTCTTCCTCCAGTGTTGCCTCACTGAGTGGCTAAACTAGCAGCAGAAACAAAAACAGACGCCATCAGCAGAGCTCTTAGCGCCAGTGCTGCAAGACGAGTTTTTCAACCCTGCAAGGCCTGTATTGTGACCACTCTCTCACAGATGAAATTGATGCTCAGGGGATTTAAGACTTGTCCAGAACGACAGGAAACTGAGGGACTGAGGCGGTCCTGCCCCAGAGCAGGAGCCCACAACTGGGCCCATCCAGGCCCTCTGTTCCCTCAATTGCTCAAATGTCCCAAGGGCTGTGAAGATGGATGAGGGTTTCTAACATTTAAGTTATGCCCTGGAAAGCCAGTGCATGGGAAGATGCCCCTCCATCTTTCTTTCATTGTGTCCCAGGATGCCCCCGCCAGGGCCCCCGAAGTCTCTCCTGACTTCTACAGCCTGTGCCAGTCTTCGGTCTCCTTGGACCACTGCTACTTCCCCCTGAGTGACAAAAGCAAGCCGCTCTCCAGCCCTAGCTCTGAGAACAACGACACAGACTTCCTGTGGGAACAGGAAAAGGTGAGAGGAACGGCCACCTGCCGAGGCTGGATGGGTCTCTCCTGCCCTCACTCACCTCCCTGCCTCTCTCAGGACACACAGGCCAACCCTGAGGGCTCACCGTCCTCCAATGACGAGGACAATGACTACACATGGACCCCAACCCGGCGGGCCTCCACCCTGCCTGCCACTGGGAGGAAGGCCAGGAAGGGCCAGGCCAGCAAGGGCCGGGCCAGCAAGGGCCCCATGAAGCCCAAGGAGAGCAAGAAAGCCCACTGCCTCAACCAAGTGAAGAAGAAATGTGTCAACGGCTTCATCATGTTCTGCAGGATGAACCGGAAGCCATATATCCGGTGGGTGGGGTCCTTAGTAGCACTTGGAGGGGCCCTACCCTACCGTCATTGTCTGAACCCCCAGGCCATCTGGCCCCCTCATTGCTGTGGGACCATTTGCACCTTCTTGGAGCCCACTGACCCTTCTGCAGCCACCTTTCTCCCCAACCTTTGTACTGGCAGGGGCTTCCACTGTGTGCAGGGCAACCCAACTCACATCTCAGACTGGAGGGAAAAGGAAGCTAATAGGCTTGGATAAACTCAAAGTGAGGGGGAGACGTACTTGCCTTCAGGATGCACCTGGTTCTAGGCTGGAACAGCATGCCTGGGATCTCTGATCCTCTCTCTGGGCCAACTTCATTCTCCAGCATGGTAGTGGCAGGGTCATGCCCAGGAGCACCTGGCTGAGGTTCTGTCTGCTACTCCAGCAGCATCTCAGGGAAGGACAGACAGCTCTTGTCTCTAAGTTTCAACCCTGATAGGTCAGACCCAACCCTGACCCAGTCACTGTGGGACCAAAGCCAGGGGCTGGGGAGGCCACAGCACAGGACAGCTGGTTCTTCCTGGGTTCTTAGTACCTTAGTTTCCGGTCACTGTCACAAGTGCTGGTTCGGGGAAGCAGCGGCTACAGGGTCCCTGTGCCCGCTAGGACCCTGGGTCCTCCCTTGAGAGCAGTCATGTAAAGTGCATTTTGCATCTTAGACACTCGATTCTGGAGGGCTTGCCAGCCAGCAGGCACAGGGACGGGAACCCTTGAGGGGTCCTATCGCCGGCCCCCACCCAGGCCAATGTGCCCTGCAGGCCTCCTCTGACCTCCTTTCTTCTTCCTTCCTGGCCCAGAGCCTGCCCTGGGACTGCGTCCACAGCTGCCACCAAGGAGCTGGCCCAGCTGTGGCGGGTGATGCCCCAGGAGGAGCGGAGACCATACTGGTGAGAAGCCCCCACCCAGCCAGCATGGTAGGAGGCCAAGAGGCTGCCCTGACCCTTAACTGTTCCTTCTCGTTCACAACCTTGTGCCTCATGGTGTTGGAAACAGGTTGCAGGTTTACCAGGCTCAGGGATTGTTGCCAAATATTTAAGACAGACTTAGGAGTGACGTAGGTGCAGAGGCGCCACCTGAAGCTAAGGAGCAATGGCTTCACGGGGACTTGGACCCTTTTGCCCTATTTCTTTTGCCTTCTCTGCCACGTGGAGTTATAGCCCCTTAGAGCTTGGTCTCTCCTGCCCTAATGCTCTCCTTTCCTAATGCTTGGCCTCTTGTCCCTCTCTGATCCTGACCCCCTTGCTGCTCTCCACAACTCCAAGGAGCTGGCGCCTGCCTGTGTCAGAACCGGCACTTGAAACATGCACGTTTCCCACTCACCAGCCTCTTCCCAGGAGTGTGGGCTCCAGCAGAGGTTCCTTGGCCAAGTCCAAGGGTCTCAGACGATCAGGATTTAAGGCTAAAACCCTGGCCTCTCCCTTGGGCTGAGACCTGGTCAGCTCTGAGGCCAAAGGGCTGGGGTGGGACACAGCCTGGGGAAGTGAATGCGGATCCGTCCTGTCGGCCCCATCTCCCCCCAGCATCAAGGCTCGCAGGTTCAGCCGCCAGCACAACCGCATCGTGAAGCAGGAAAGCTCTGACAGTGAAGATGAGGACTCGGTGACCCCCAAGCCCTTCTACCAGCTGCTGGCCGAGAAGGCACAGGCTTCCCTTGAGCAAGCCTCGGCGCCACCCCCTCAGGGTGACTGAGGGCAGAACTCCACACACACACACACCCCCGCAGCTCCTACAGCCTGTTTGAAACCAGGAGCCAGCGATGGTCAGGTTGTCCCCACCCCACCTCAGACCCCGCTGTTGTAGGGCCAGTTCCCAGGGACTGAGGATGAGTTGTATTTATCTGTGCTTTGCCTTGTGCGTGCTGCTGCCCTTCTCACAGCCCCTTTCTGCCTTGCAGTCAGTAGGAGCCCCAGGGTGGGCGGAGGGAACCCTAGATGAAATGCAGGAGGGGAAGTTCACAAGCAGAGGATCCCCATACCCCTCCTCTCCCTCCAGGATCCACTTGTCTTCATTCACACCTCACCTCTCCCTCCCAGTTCTATTTAAAGACTATTTATTGTTTCAAACAAAATAAAGCAAGGACCCTTGTTACCAGCAAGGGAGACAAGGGCAGGCTCTCCCTCTGTCCCCCTGCACCATCACCCAAATCCAACCCAAGCCTGCGGTTTGAAAAACTTGCTGCCCACGAGTCTCAGCTCAAACCAGTACCCTCAGGAAACAGTGACCAGAGCCAATGCAAACTGGGCTTGTCCTTCAGGCAAATCCTTTGCAAAGTGAGCCCTCCTGGAAGTTCTGTTATCTGTTACCTTTAATTGAAAGGGAAGCATAACATGTCCTAGAAAAATAGAGATTTAGGATACAAACTAGACACAGGGGTCAGGGTTACCCCAGGAACGAGGCCATCTTTGGTCTGGGGCTGGAGGTGATCATGAGGGCTCAAATCCAGGGGAGCAAGGGAAGACCCAGTCCTCCCAGGAAGGCCAAGCTGGGGAAGTCTCAGTCCTTGGGCCCAGGACTCCATTCTCCACCCTCAGATTCCAAGCAGTTCCGAGAATACCAGTATCAGCAGAGCTATTAATAGTGTTAGGAGTGAGGGAAGCGCATGTGGGGTTGGAAATCCAGCCATCTGGCAGGTCTTCAGCTCACAGCGAGTACCAGGTGGAGGGCAGAGCCCCTGAGTTGGGACCGCCAGGTCCCCCCTTTTATATCGCAGGGCAGGGCGGGAGGGAGCCATAACAGGAATCCTCCCAGGCAGGGAGTAGACAAGCAAATCCCTCTGGCACCTCCAGGACTTGGAGGGGTTCCCCAGGCTGGAAGGATGTAGTGTGAAGGGGGCCTTCAAGTCATGACAAGTGTCTTTCTGGAGGGTTCCTTCTCCCCCATCTGTCCCTGCATCTTGAGCACCATTGTCAGGAGAGGCATGAGTGAGGCTGGCTGGTCACAGTTCCAAGGGCTCCTCTACAGGCACCGACTGCAGCTGGGTCAGAACCTTGGCCTCTGCTTCTAGCCCCTCATCAACCTCGGCGGCTGCGGTGGCCCCCAGAAGCAGCCCCTCAGGGTCAGGGCCTGGCAGCCTCAGCACAGTATGGGGGGCCTGTGTCTCCAGCCCCTTTTCTGCATCTAGCAGTCCCTCTGTTCCTGTGCTCAGTTCTAGCCCTGCTGACCAGACAGGCACGGCTGCAGGTGACAGCATCAGACCCTCTGCCAGGGGTGCTGGAAAGCTGGACAGGAGGCTGGAGGAGTCCGGGGAGAAGGGCAGGCTGGCTGCAGAGGTGGCCACAGCGGGCGGTGGCGGCACCTGAGCCGAAAGCGTGCCCAAGGCATGGGCCTCTGGGAGTGCAGGGCTGGGGGCTACCGGGAGGGTTCCTTCGGGGACAGAGATGGTCGTCTCTGGCTTCAGGGGCAGGGCCAGGCTGGGGGCTGGTGGCAGGACCTGGGAGACCAGCATGCTGGTGGGGAAGGTGGCAGTGAGGATGATCTTGCCCTGCTGCACAGCCACACCTGTGACGATGGGGCTGCCAGATACAGGGTTGGCCAGGAGGAAGTTTCCTGCGGGGAGAGGAGATGGTTAGGGCTAGAAGCAGCAAGCGGAGCCCCTCAGGGTGAAGCCAAGTGACGCTAAGCCTGGCACAGAGGGCACAGGGACACGCCAAGGAAAAGATGTTTCCCCTCCCCTAGCTCCTCCCAGGCCTGAGGGAAGGAGGAGGTACCTGGGGCAGTGGCCGAAGGCAGCTGTAGGGCAGTCACGCCCACCCCAGAGTTTATCAGATGCACATTGGCAGGCCCCGCTGCAGCTGCCACCTTCACAGGGCTGCCTGGGCCAGCTGCCAACAGCTGCAGTGGCCCCATGGCCTGGGGCAAGGTCACCACCTGGGAGGTAGGCACCACCTGGGGCAGGTTCAACAATGGAGAAGTGGCATTCAGGCCTGTGGGATACCCAGGGGGTGGGGACAGTGGCACCACCTGGGGGGCAGCCACTGTGGGCACTGGTCCTGCGGGCAGAGAGAAGTTGGCCGCAGGTGGAGGGCCAGGTACCACCTGGGGCAGGGGTCCCGAGACCTCCTCTCCAGTGGGCACTGAAGCAACCACCTGGGCCCCTTTGGTCTCAGGGACCTCAGATGAAGCCTCTTCCAGCCGAACCTCACCAGTCTGAGGGTCCAAGACCAGAGAGGTCTTGGCTTCGCTGGTGCCCTGGGAACCAGGCTGTGGGGGGGCAGCCCCTCCGCCTGTGAGCAACAGGGGGCCCAAGCTGGAGGCCTCGCCCAGCGCCAAGCTGTTGATGATGACAGGGCTGCCGTTGAGGAGCACTGTCGGGGAGCTGCTGGCAGCCAGGAAGCTCCCGTTCACCAGGATGGAGGAGGAGGCTGGGCACGGAGCGGGAGGGGTGGGCCCCGCCAAAAATATGGAGCTCTGGGTGGGGGCCTCAGCAGCCACGGGGGCCACTCCCCTCTCCAGGTCTTCAGGACTTCGGCTGGACTCATCTTCAGTAGTGGGGTTCCCATCAGACTCGCTGGTGGAGAAAGAGTTATTAGGCTGTGGTCCTGAAAGCTGCTCTCCCCCAGGGGCAGAGGAAGACCACTACCACCCACGTGCCCCCCAAGCTTTTGAAGCCTATTTCAGGGGTCACAGAACCTCCGGAGATCGCGCAAGGGCCCGGTGGTGCGCTACAAGTCCTGTGTAGACTGACACTGCTGCAGGGAGCTAAAACTGACATGACGCCCAGGAAGGAGGCCCTGCTCTCCCTCGGCCTCCCGCCGAGCACCTAGGCTGCCCCTTAACTGCCCGGAGTGCCCTGGGCCCGCAGGCGTGTGGCCGGGAGTGAGGTGGTGGCACCCGCTCAGTTCCCCAAGTCCCACTCCAGAGGCGTCAGAGAAGAGAGCAGCACGAAAGGCCCAGAGGCCGGGCCGCACTGGGTGGGAGGGGAAGGGCTTGGGTTACAGGGAAACCGGAGCAGGGAAGGTTCACGTTTCACAACAAAGACAGGCGACGGACCACGCCGTCACGGCCGAATGGGTGTGGGGGTGGGGAGGAGTAACAGTTGGGGAGCGGCTGGCTGCCGCTACCCGGGGTACAGTGGGAAAGGCCTTTCCACAGCCCCCACTTTCTCACTGCCTCCCCCCACCGTGGACCCGAGCACAGACGGGTTTGAGATGGAGCCCGAGTGCAGCGGAAAGAGGTCTCCGAGCCCGCACTGCCTGCAGGCCAGGTGACCCGGGGATCAGGGCCCAGGGGAGCCGGAGCACCACGCTCGGTCCCCAAGTGCCGCAGTGTCTGGTCCCTGGAAAGGCAGGACGTGCGCTGCCCGGGTTCCCTCACCTCTTGCAGGGCGCGCCGCCGCCGGCCCCGGTTCGGTCGCGCTGTCGCCGGTTCTTGAACCAGTTGCTGACCTGCGTGAGCGAGAGGCCGGTGAGCGTGGCCAGGCGGCGCTTCTCGTCCGGTGTCGGGTAGCGGTTGCCGCGGTAGCAGGCCTTGAGCGCGGCGCGGGAGCGCTCCTTGAAGCAGTAGACTGTCTCTTCGCCGTCCCAGATGGTCTTGGGCAGCGGGAACTTCTTGCGCAGCCGGTATTTGTCCACTGCGCCCAGCGCGCGGCCGCGGGCCCGCTCGGCCTCATGGTAGCGCGCGCGCAGGTAGAGATCCTGCAGGAAGGCGTGGTGGGCGGCGGGGAA